TACCTTGCAAAGTGCATCAAAAAAATTGAGCATCTTGATTAAAAACATGAAAAGATTTGCAAAAAATGACGCCCAGTTGACACAAATCCTGCAACGGGCCGAAATCTGCGCTGAAGTATATGGACCGGATGTCGATTTCGTTACGCAATTTTGATTGGACTATGCAAAGACTCGTTAGTCCAGCCAAAAGGTAACTCCATAATTACAGCCTAGTTCGGCAATGGTGGAAACGGGACTTTTATAGTCAGTTAACTCCTTAGCCCTGGGAGGATGGTAAAACACAAAGTAACTAACAACATGGAGGGCGAGACGCACACTGTGTCGAAACGTTTGTACCTCCTTGTCCCATGCCCACGTGTCAGGGTGACATCACACGTCATGGCGCAGTGTGTCACCTGATGACGTAATAACCAATCAGATCGATATATTTTCTTGAAGCCGCGTTGGCAGGTATGATCGCACGCAGACAGAGAGGTCTGATGATTCATATTCGCTGCTACGTTTGCAGCGTGCAGTGTTGTGTTCATTCTAGATAGAAATTGAAAGGACCTTAACCATCGCGTAAAATGAATTTTCTCCCTCAAATTGCATTTAAACATTCCAGAAATCTGGGGACCGGTTTTACAGGGATATCATATTGTACAAAGAGAAACTATTGTGAATATGACACAGAGAGAGAGAGAGAGAGAGAGAGAGAGAGAGAGAGAGAGAGGGTTGGGGGAGAGGCAGAGAGAGAGACAGGGGTGGGGGAGAGGCAGAGAGAGAGAGACAGGGGTGGGGGAGAGGCAGAGAGAGAGAGACAGGGGTGGGAGAGAGGCAGAGAGAGAGACAGGGGTGGGGAGAGGCAGAGAGAGAGACAGGGGTGGGAGAGAGGCAGAGAGAGAGACAGGGATGGGGGAGAGAGGCAGAGAGAGAGAGACAGGGTGGGGGAGAGGCAGAGAGAGAGAGACAGGGGTGGGGGAGAGGCAGAGAGAGAGACAGGGGTGGGGGAGAGGCAGAGAGAGAGACAGGGGTGGGGGAGACGGAGAGAGGCAGAGAGAGAGAGACAGGGGTGGGGGAGAGGCAGAGAGAGAGACAGGGGTGGGGGAGAGGCAGAGAGAGAGAGACAGGGTTGGGGGAGAGAGGCAGAGAGAGAGAGAGACAGGGTGGGGGAGAGGCAGAGAGAGAGAGACAGGGGTGGGGGAGAGGCAGAGAGAGAGACAGGGGTGGGGGAGAGGCAGAGAGAGAGACAGGGTTGGGGGAGAGCCAGAGAGAGAGAGACAGGGTGGGGGAGAGGGGGAGAGGCAGAGAGAGAGAGAGACAGGGGTGGGGGAGAGGCAGGGAGAGAGACAGGGTGGGGGAGAGGCAGAGAGAGAGACAGGGTTGGGGGAGAGGCAGAGAGAGAGACAGGGGTGGGGAGAGGCAGAGAGAGAGACAGGGGTGGGGGAGAGGCACAGAGAGAGACAGGGGTGGGGGAGACGGAGAGAGGCAGAGAGAGAGACAGGGGTGGGGGAGAGGCAGAGAGAGAGACAGGGGTGGGGGAGAGGCAGAGAGAGAGAGACAGGGTTGGGGGAGAGGCAGAGAGAGAGACAGGGGTGGTGGAGAGGCAGAGAGAGAGACAGGGGTGGGGGAGAGGCAGAGAGAGAGACAGGGGTGGGGAGAGGCAGAGAGAGACAGGGGCGGGGGAGAGGCAGAGAGAGAGAGAAAGGGAGAGAGGCAGAGAGAGGGAGACAGAAACAGTGGGAGGGTGAGGCAGAGAGAGAAGGGGGAGAGGCAGAGTGAGTGAGTGAGTTGGGTTTAACGCCGCTTTTAACAGTTTTCCAGTTATATCACGGCGTGTCAGCTAAATGTGGGAGGAAAGCCCGAAGTGATGCAAATATTTATTTGAGGTCGCTTGAAAAAGGTGAGTGAGGCACAAAGGCAAGTATACCACAGCCCTCCAATACAACCGTATGGTACTGACTAGCTATCGTGGGAATGGGATACGTAGACAGCGCATTGCAGTTATTGTTCTGAACTGATACAATCACATATTGTGGGGGGTCGTGAGCGAATGTGCACCATCAGATATAAAAGAAGACTGTCATGTACATTAGAGACAAATCAAAATCAAAGTAATTTTTAATCTATAAACACAAAATGAATCACTGACATTCAAATGGAGCTCACTGAATAACACCTTTTGACAAAATATATTGCAACTTTCCTTTGTAACAAAAGTACTAATCTAGGTGCAATTTACTGTTTACATAAAACGAAATAGATATATAGAGAATCTCACCCGAGTGTCTTTTGATATCAAATATATCAACACGAGTTGATAAAAGTGGAAAAATTCCGAGGCTTGCCGAGGATTTTTGCCACTTTTATCAACGAGTGTTGATACATTTGATATCAAAAGACACGAGGGTGAGATTTTATTTATCATCCAACATCATTCTTTTAACGTTTTCAATTTGTAGACAGTAATTAGCAGTGTCTTCAGTGTAAAAAGTACTGCAAACAGCTTCAGTAGCAGAGCCATTAGTGATGTCATTTGATTGTGACGTCATGGTAACCAGTGACGTCACAATGGTCTGCAAAGCATTGTGATGATGTTTCTGCAGCGATATCTACAGTGTAGATATCGCTTGATCTCATCCAAGCGATATCTCCTGTGGGATCCAGTTTTGGATGATAAATGTACATGTACTTATACTAAGGTGTAATGCCAAAGGAACAGGAAATTTAAAACATAACTAATAAAAACATTTTAGGTGTTGTGTCCAAGGTCTTACATTCTTTACCACAGATTTTTAAGCACACTCAAGAAATACAACAACCATTCCAGCGAAAACTTCAGCGGTTCCTGGGGGCACACATACTCAGTGTTGAGAGTGAATTGCTGAAACACAAACAGAGAAGGATGGAACACTGAATATTCCTGTTAACTGTGATAATAGACTTCAAAATGTCAACGCCAGAGAATCTCCATCTCCAGTATCTGCCGATAAGCCATTCTTCAATCCCATTATTAATTTGCACATGATTTAAAAAAAACAAAAAACTGTACCCATACACGTAGTTTAGGGAGAGAGTTTGCACGTGACAACAACATCTCTGTGCCTGACTCTGGTGTGTTGCGGTAAAGCTGTCGGGGCAACATGCATGAACTTCCATACCTAAATATTCGACACTCGTAGTGCTGATAGGACTTCCTTGTGCTTATAGATCGTCTATAAGGTCTCGAGGGGCGGTCGGGTAGCCTAGTGGTTAAAGCATTCGCTCGTCACGCCGAAGACCCGGGTTCGATTTCCGACATGGGTACAATGTGTGAAGCCCATTTCTGGTGTCCCTGCCGTGATATTGCCGGAATATTGCTAAAAGCGGCGTAAAACCATACTCACTCACTCACTCACTTACTATAAGGTCTCGAATGTTAGCGCTTCGGTTGTGGTAGTTGTTACACTTCTACACAGCTGTAGCGCTAGATTACTTTGTGCAACTGTATCTTGGAACCATTTGCAAGCCGAATACCAAGATCCAGTTAAGTGGTACTGAGGATGCTGTGCAGGACGCTGGAAGTCATAAAATAATTATCTGGAACGCTAAATGCTAATATTTCAATGTTGAAATTTATTTTTCGTCTTTTATTCTTGCAACGAGTGACAAATTAAACACATATTTATCCCTACGCCTATGAACACGCGTCTGCTTGCATTTTATGTGAAAATCCAAATCTAATATAGCTGTACCAGCTGTGTACACTGATATGTCAAAGGAGTCCTGAAATTGGATGCCAAGATAGATTAAATGGTATGCCGTATGCCTGGAATGGGGGGGGGGGGGGGGGGGGGGTTGGCACCCTCAACATTTCCATATTTGAATATATTTGAATATATAAGATATATTGTGATAAGAGCGCAGTACTAATATTAGAGGTCCCAGGTCCGTTCGCAAAAAGCGATCTGAGCGTTAGGATTGTCGTAACGCCGACACTTTAACATTGCCTGATAGTCTTGTTGCTTTTATGGCACGAGGCCGGGTAAACTGAACTTTATACAGATTCAGAGGACGTAACCCAGAATAACCAAAGGTACCTGACACCAGTACAGGACAACAGCTGGTAACGTTCAGCAACTGAGTGAGTGAGTGAGTGAGTGAGTGAGTGAGTGAGTGAGTGAGTGAGTGAGTGAGTGAGTGAGTGAGTGCGTGAGTGAGTGAGTGAGTGAGTGAGTTTGACTTAGGGCAACTGCAGTGATATCACAATGTGTCAGCCTAATGTGGGAATAAAGCAGGAAGCAGTATTGTCTCAATGCAGAAATGTGCATCCAATTCTCACAAATGAATCGAATGGATACAGAAATAAATATATATTGCATTCCGAGGGATAAACAATAGTATTCATTAAACCAGATTCTTGACAAGAAATTGAAAGTTTAAGTGATTGAAGTAATTATTAAATCTTACAGTACAGTAGACTACACAATTTCATTAATTTACAGGACCCTCATATTTCCTGTAAGAACCCTTAAAATTTGTAATTGGGGGTCCTCTGGACCCCTAGCGTTGTCGGTCAAAGTAAAACCTCGAAGAAGTGATGCAGGTCTCCGATGTTTACAACCCACATACACAGGCAAACCTTGAACCTAGAAAGAATCAGGGTAAACGGGGGTTTGTACCCATCATAGGTCAAAGACTCACCTTATGAAGGTAAACAACTCTGTGCAAAGAATTATTGTGTTACCTCAGATAACTAGGCCACCCGTGCCCCCATCAATGACAAGAGTGAGTGAGTATGGTCTTACGCCACTTTTAGCAATATTCCAGCAATATCACGGAGGGGAACACAAGAAATAGGCTTCACACATTGTACCCATGTCGGGAATCGAACCCGGGTCTTCGGCGTGACGAGCTAACGCTTTAACCATTAGGCTACCCGACCGGCCATTAATAACATGGGGTGAACAATGTCTGGTTGCAGCAAAGATCACCAGCAAGGTAATCACACGGTCACTCTTGTAATGATGATGGATACTTACATAATTCAGTTTGGGTTTTTCTTCATTAAAGATCAGTTGATTAGTACTTTCCATGCAAACTAACTTCACTTTTGACATTCTGGAAAAAAACAGCAACATGCTGACAAATGACATGCATAATTATACATCTCCAAAGAAGTCAAAGAACACCTGATTCTTTCCTAATACTATTGTCTGTGATTGTTGGTGAGTATTGCAAAACACAGCCTTCCATATCCGGGTGTTCTTTAACTTGTTTTGAGTATATTTGAACATAAAAAAATATTTAAACTTCGTTAACATTAGTGACTAATCTAGGACTCTAAAATAAATGTGCATGGCAGGTATGGTTTTACGCCGCTTTTTAGAATATTCCAGCAATATCACGGCGGGCTTCACACATTGTACCCATGTCGGGAATCGAACCCGGGTCTTCGGCGTGACGAGCGAACGCTTTAACCACTAGGCTACCCGACCGCCCCTAATATTAAGATGTTTGTGGAGAAAATAATGCCTTTAATGGAGCCAGAAAATGAGATGGGGCCATTGATTACCCGAAGCTTTAACTGAATAGCAATAAAGTGAAGGTGTTTTTTGCAATGGATGCCTGCATGTGATAATGGTAAAGCTCTCTCTGTGTGAGCCATTGCATGTGTGCATGATTCTTTAACGACGCAGTCAGCAATATTCTGGAGGCCGGTCCAAACTAACAATCCAATGTCCGATATTATGAGAAACGATACACACTGACCAGTTACAATGACATGCCATCAACCACCATAACTATTAAGTAGCATCAATTAACATGTAAAATCCATGCAGTTTTCTAACCTGATGATCCCGCCCTCTGCATGTTGATAGCTCAAGGTCAAGGTGCCAAGGTCAGGGTCACCACTAAAGGTTGCTGTATTGTCATCTGCAGTTACATAGTACACTCCACCTTGTTGTTGAATAACCTTGAAGTCAAGAAAGAGAAAGAAGTAAGGCAGTGCTAAGGTCAGGGTCAACACTAAAAAGTTGATTCATTATAGGCCTAATCCAGTTATTGCGTAACCTGAGTCATTGTAGAACAAGCATGGAATACGCATAATACTTCAACAAGTAACATCTTTTAACGTCTTTTGGTATGATGCGGCCGGGGATCGAGCCCCGGACCTTCCGCTCTCCGGGTGGACGCTCAACCACTAGACCTAGATTATGGAGTTAGAATTTGGCTGGACCAACGAGGCTATGAATAGTCCAATCAAAATCGTGTATCGAAATCGAAATCCGGTTCGTAAACTGTATTGCAGATTTCGCTCGATTGCGGGATTTGCAAAGCATGTGCACCGCCAACTCGTTTTCAACAGATATTTTCCAAGCCTTTTCATGTTTTTAATTAAGGTGCTCGCGTGATTAGATGCACTTCGCGGTGTAAGACCCGTTTTATCACAATATAGATAATGATTATCGATAAGATCGTCTTGACTGGGCGCCGCCTTTTTGGAATCTGATTGGTCCAGAGGAGAGGCTTAGAAGGGACAAAACTCGTATTAGCCACTGGTGACGCTACGATCGAGCCAGGAAGTCCAGCCTAGTTCGGCAAGGGTAGAAACTGGACTTTTTAATGTCAGTTTACTCTCTTGGTTTTGGGAAGATGTACCTGTTTGATAGGCCGAAACATCCCATTGGCCAGTTTTTCACCAGGAAGATGGCGCCCTCGGTCAGTTCTTTCCCACCCCTGGCAAGACTTTTCCCCAACGAATTTAGGTGGGGAATGTTCTGCCTAGGCCAGATCTTCCCCTCTCTTGGCCATAACCTAGGCCAGATCTTCCCCTCTCTTGGCCATAACGTAGGCCAGTTCTATATCATCCTAGGCCAGTTCTTATCCACTGTGGTCATACCTCCCCACATGTTCAAACATTTCTAAAATTTTGGAAAACTTTATATTCATTCATCTTCAAATAATTTCAATATTGCTCCACAATATGGAAAGGTTTCTATAATGGAATATGAGGATATTTATGTAACTTTATATTCATTCATCTTCAAATATTTTCAATATTGTTCCACAATATGGAAATGTTTCTATTATGGAATATGAGAATGTTTATGTCAATTGATGATTGACAAATGTTAAACTTCTACGATGCCCAAGATATTGATGAAGGTGTTTGTGTATTCGTTTCTCTGTCCTATTCAATAATGGTTTTTATTGGCATGAAATCGAACGGAACTCAAATAGAGGAGGAGCTTACTCAATATACGTAATTGTAGCGTGACGAAGGAATGCTGAGGCCAGATAATCTCTCTGTTGAGGTAAAGAAATAATGAGATTCTCAACAAATCAAATGCAATTCAACAATACCAGTTTTAAGCTGAGTCCCCTCATTGTGTCTGACTGAATTTCAAGTCGCTATTTGGCAAAATAGATATACAGTAAACTATGGTTATAACGAACACGCTTATAACGAACTAACGGATATAACGAACTAACTTTTTAGTCCCGACTATATGCTGTAGTTATGCTGTATATATGCTTATAACGAATTACGGTTATAACGAACTAAAATTAGTAGTCCCTTTGAGTTCGGTATAACCGTAGTTTACTGTATGGAAGATGCAACTGTTGTCATGAAAAGTCAATCAGCAATGTAAGACAAAATTAACTAGGTTTACAAATCAATACAAATTACTGCGCAGGAATTACAATGACAGTACAAAAGAGTGGTAGTACAATATTCAATGGCAATGTATAATGTGATGGCAGTGGTTAGTATCAAATGCAAAAATACAGTGGTGATGGCAAAAGTCAGTGATAATAATATATTAGCGGTGAAAGTGGTAAAGCTTCCGAGATGGGCTAGACAGGGAATCAGGGCTGATGAATGACCCTCAAACGAAAGCTGGTCTTGATGTGATGAACAGCGTGAGAGATGCAAGGGGCATGCGCTTGTGCCCATATATACAGTCCAACTCGCTTCCAGAGTATTCTAAACAATGCTGTAAGGCTCTATACAATGCTGACGAATTTCGACGTTTCCGGAATTTATCACACCACTCTAGCATCTAAATATAGTAACTTCCCGACGACTGCTTACATTAAATGGACACTACATTCCTGAAGATTAATCACTGCCCAAATACAATGCAACGAGCGTCTACCGACAGAAATGTAACAGTCACGATCATTGTTCAACAATAAAATACACTGCCATATAACATGGAATTCAGAGGGGTACCGATGGGGTGGGGGAAGATGTGGCTAGGGAGTGGAAGAACAGGCCTAGTATATACCTCAATATAAATATGAATGAATACACATCAGAATTCGGACCATCGACGATCTTTCTCCAGACGATGTGTCTGTTACTGATGCGTTGTTACTATAGACACATCTTATAAATGAATGTATCGGTCCATTTCGGAAACATAATAAAACAAGGCTCAAAAAGAGCATGTCTCATTAAAAAAACCGACTTCGACACCAACCTAATTCTAAGTTCAAAACATGAGAAGCCACGCTCGTGAATTTAAGCCCTGGCAATGACTGATTTGGTCTCTGTCAGATGGGACGAACGCATATTTTTTCAGATTCCCACATCTCTTGGTCTTAAATCCATCCAGTAATCGTTTCTAAAGTGCAACATAATATACTCTGTTTATTGTTTGGATTTTTGGAAGATATTCCGTCGTGATGACACACTCGGCATCCCAGAACACCGATGCCATAACCTCTCCAGCTGATTGGACAGTCTTTGCCTTCATTGTTAGCTTGGTATCAAATGCTTCAAAGCCTCCAATGTTTTGATTCTTGTTAAAACAAAACGCTGAACTTAAAGCAAAATCCACCTCCTCCCGCCCCAATATCCACAAAAGCATATCCCAGTTTACAAGTGACATTTAACCAGTGTAAAAATGCTAACTTACCACACCAGTTGAACCTCCCTCTGTAAAATCTTTACATGGATTGTAGAAGAATTTGTCCGAGTCTATACCAGGAATGGTGAATCTGAAAAGAAGGAAACCTGATAAGTTCTGGGTCTGTTCCACAAAACGACCTCAGGTTTACGATTGTCGTAGCGCTAAAACCGTTTTGTGGCACAAGGCCTGATAAGTCACTTGGTGATCACTATAGCTCCATTTGTCACAAGAAGCTGCAGTTTTATGAATGAGGGCCTTCAGCTTCTGAAGTCTGTGGGTCCTGACGCCAGCAGTGCAATTTGTTTTTATTTTTAGTATTTTTTTAAGCAGTTGCTATTAGGCTACCAGATAATTCAATGATTGACATAATGGGCAATTGGGATACGATGACAAGCATCAACTAAGTCAGCGAGTCTGACCACACGATCCCGTTAGTTGCCTCTCGGTAAAATCGACCTGGTGACTTGAAACTACGGAGTGATGCAGGTCTCAGACGTTTACCACTTTGGTGAAACCCACGAGCACGGGTATAGTGCTAACAAACCTAGAAACATAATCGGGGCGAACCGGGATTCGAACCCTTAACCATAGGTTTCAGGCGTGCCCAAGGCACGCAACTCTGCACAGCGAATCGCGGCACCTTAGGCGACAGGGCCACCCGTGCTCCCTGAATAGAGTGAATAAGAATGAAATTGATTTCAGTTGAAGGTAAAGCCAAATATATAGGGAGGTTATTCAAGGTAGATGCGCTACCGGAAGGGTTATATATAGGAATCATAAGGCCCGGGTGGTGTTGCCGTTGCAGTGCGGTCTGTTTTAATATGATGTTTATGTCCTATGGTTATGATCATTTCCTTTTGTTAGGTGCTGACAGTCTTGCTACAAGTCAAATGTCTTCACAATGGCGAGTGAGTAAGTATGGTTTTACGCCACTTTTAGCAATACTCAAGCAATATCACGGAGGGGAACACAAGAAATAGTCTTCACAGATTGTACCCATGTCGGGAATCGAACCCGGGTCTTCGGCGTGACGAGCTAACGCTTTAACCACTAGGCTACCCGACCGGCCATTAATGAAACGAGATAACAATGTCTGTTTGCAGCAAGGATCACCAGAAAGGTAATCACACAGTTACTCTTGTAATGATGATGGATACTAACATAATTCAGTCTGGGATTTTCTCCATTAAAGATCAGTTGATTAGCACATTACACACATAGGCACAAACAACAGACGTCTACCAATACAACATTACACACATAGGCACAAACTACGGTCATCTACCAATACAACATAACATACATTGTCACAAACATCAGACGTCTACCAATACAACATTACACACATAGCCACAAACTACGGACATCTACCAATACAACATAACATTCATTGTCACAAACATCAAACGTCTACCAATACAACATTACACACATAGCCACAAACTACGGACATCTACCAATACAACATAACACACATTGTCATAAACATCAGACGTCTACCAATACAACATTACACACATAGCCACAAACTACGGACATCAACCAATACAACATAACATACATTGTCACAAACATCAGACGTCTACCAATACAACATTACACACATATTTAGTCAACAACAGACGTCTACCAATACAACAGTACACACATATTTAGTCAACAACAGACGTCTACCAATACAACATTACACACATATGTAGTCAACAGAAAACAGACGTCTACCAATACAACACCAGACCCAAAGTCACAAACAACAGACGTCTACCAATACAACATGACACACATATTCAGTCAACAGACAACAGACGTCTCCCAATACAATATTACACACATATTTAGTCAACAGAAAACATACGTCTACCAATACAACATAACACATATTTAGTCAACAGACAACAGACGGCTACCAATACAACATTACACATATAGTGACAAACAACAGACGTCTACCAATACAACATTACACACATATTTAGTCAACAGACAACAGACGTCTACAAATACAACATTACACACATATTTAGTCAACAAACAACAGACGTCTACCAATACAACATGACACACATATTCAGTCAACAGACAACAGACGTCTCCCAATACAATATTACACACATATTTAGTCAACAGAAAACATACGTCTACCAATACAACATAACACATATTTAGTCAACAAACAACAGACGTTTACCAATAAAACATAACACACATTTAGTCAACAGACATCAGACGTCTCCCCATACAATATTACACACATGTTCAGTCAACAGACAACAGACGTCTACCAATACAACATTACACACATATTTAGTCAACAAACAACAGACGTCTACCAATACAACATGACACATATTTAGTCAACAGACAACAGACGTCTACCAATACAACATTACACACATATTCAGTCAACAGTCAACAGACGTCTACCAATACAACATTACACACATATTCAGTCAGCAGACAACAAACGTCTACCAATACAACATTACACACATATTTAGTCAACAGAAAACATACGTCTACCAATACAACATAACACATATTCAGTCAACAAACAACAGACGTCTACCAATACAACATTACACACATATTCAGTCAACAAACAACAGACGTCTACCAATACAACATTACACACATATGAAGTCAACAGAAAACAGACGTCTACCAATACAACACCAGACCCAAAGTCACAAACAACAGACGTCTACCAATACAACATGACACACATATTCAGTCAACAGACAACAGACGTCTCCCAATACAATATTACACACATATTTAGTCAACATAAAACATACGTCTACCAATACAACATTACACACATATTTAGTCAACAGAAAACAGACGTCTACCTATACAACATAACACATATTCAGTCAACAGACAACAGACGTCTACCAATACAACATTACACACATATTTAGTCAACAGACAACAGACGTCTACCAATACAACATGACACATATTTAGTCAACAGACAACAGACGTCTACCAATACAACATTACACACATATTCAGTCAACAGTCAACAGACGTCTACCAATACAACATTACACACATATTCAGTCAACAGACAACAAACGTCTACAAATACAACATTACACACATATTCAGTCAACAGTCAACAGACGTCTACCAATACAACATTACACACATATTCAGTCAACAGTCAACAGACGTCTGCCAATACAACATTACACACATATTCAGTCAACAGACAACAAACGTCTACAAATACAACATTACACACATATTTAGTCAACAAACAACAGACGTCTACCAATACAACATTTCACACATATTTAGTCAACAGACAACATGCGTCTACCAATACAACATTACACACATATTTAGTCAACAGAAAACAGATGTCTACCAATACAACATAACACATATTTAGTCAACAGTCAACAGACGTCTACCAATACAACATTACACACATATTCAGTCAACAGACAACAAACGTCTACAAATACAACATTACACACATATTTAGTCAACAAACAACAGACGTCTACCAATACAACATTACACACATATTTAGTCAACAGACAACATACGTCTACCAATACAACATTACACACATATTTAGTCAACAGAAAACAGACGTCTACCAATACAACATAACACATATTTAGTCAACAAACAACAGCCGTCTACCAATACAACATTACACACATATTCAGTCAACAGACAACAAACGTCTACAAATACAACATTACACACATATTTAGTCAACAAACAACAGACGTCTACCAATACAACATTTCACACATATTTAGTCAACAGACAACATGCGTCTACCAATACAACATTACACACATATTTAGTCAACAGAAAACAGATGTCTACCAATACAACATAACACATATTTAGTCAACAGTCAACAGACGTCTACCAATACAACATTACACACATATTCAGTCAACAGACAACAAACGTCTACAAATACAACATTACACACATATTTAGTCAACAAACAACAGACGTCTACCAATACAACATTACACACATATTTAGTCAACAGACAACATACGTCTACCAATACAACATTACACACATATTTAGTCAACAGAAAACAGACGTCTACCAATACAACATAACACATATTTAGTCAACAAACAACAGCCGTCTACCAATACAATATTACACACATATTTAGTCAACAAACAACAGACGTCTACCAATACAATATTACACACATATTCAGTCAACAGACAACAGACGTCTACCAATACAACATTACACACATATTCAGTCAACAAACAACAGACGTCTACCAATACAACATTACACACATATTCAGTCAACAGACAACAGATGTCTACCAATACAACATTACACACATATTTTGTCAACAGACAACAGACGTCTACCAATACAACATTACACACATAGTGACAAACAACAGAAGTCTACCAATACAACATTACACACATAGTGACAAACAACAGATGTCTACCAATACAACATTACACACATATTTAGTCAACAGACAACATACGTCTACCAATACAACATAAGACCCATAGTCACAAACAACAGACGTCTACCAATACAACATTACACACATTGTCACAAACAATAGACGTCTACAAATACAACATTACACACATTGTCACAAACAATAGACGTCTACCAATATAACATTACACACATTGTCACTAACATCAGACGTCTACCAATACAACATTACACATATAGTCACAAACAACAGACGTCTACCAATACATCATTACACACATTGTCACAAGCAACAGACGTCTACCAATACAACATTACACACATATTTAGTGAACAAACAACAGACGTCTACCAATACAACATTACACATATTTAGTCAACAGACAACAGACGTCTACCAATACAACATTACACACATATTCAGTCAACAGACAACAGACGGCTACCAATACAACATTACACATATAGTGACAAACAACAGATGTCTACCAATACAACATTACACACATATTTAGTCAACAGACAACAGACGTCTACAAATACAACATTACACACAGATTTAGCAACAGACAACATACATCTACCAATACAACATCAGACCCATAGTCACAAACAACAGACGTCTACCACTACAACATTACACACATAATCACAAACAACATAAGTCTGCGGAAACAAAACCAGACCCATAGTCAAAAACAACGTGACTCTAGCAATACAACACCACACACATAGCCACAAACAACCTGAATCTAGCAATACAACACCTCACACATAGCCACAAACAACCTTAGTCGAGCAACACAACACCACAAACATGGCCACAAACAACCTCAATCTACCATAACAACACCTCACACATAGCCACAAACAACCTGAATCTAGCAATACAACACCTCACACATAGCCACAAACAACCTCAATCCAACAATACAACACCTCACACATAGCAACAAACATCCTGCATCTAGCATAATAACACCTCACACATAGCCACAAACAACCTAAGTCGAGCAACACAACACCACAAACATAGCCGCAAACAACCTGAATCTACCATAACAACACCTCACACATAGCCACAAACAACCTGAATCTAGCACAACACCACACACATAGCCACAAACAACCTGAATCTAGCACAACACCACACACATAGCCACAAACAACCTCAATCTAGCACAACACCACACACATTGCCACAAACAACCTTAATCTAGAATAACAACACCACACACATAGTCACAAACAACCTTAATCTAGCATAACAACACCATACACATAGCCACAAACAACCTTAATCTAGCATAACAACACCTCACACATAGCCACAAACAACCTTAATCTAGAATAACAACTCCACACACATAGCAACAAACAACCTGAATCTGGCACAACAACACCTCACACATAGCCGCAAACAACCTTAATCTAGCATAACAACACCACACACATAGCCACAAACAACCCTAATCTAGCATAACAACACCTCACACATAGCCACAAACAACCTTAATCTAGCATAACAACTCCACACACATAGCCACAAACAACCTTAATCCAACAATACAACACCTCACACATAGCAACAAACATCCTGCATCTAGCATAACAACACGACACACATAGCCACAAACAACCTTAATCTGGCATAACAACACCTCACACATAGCCACAAACAACCTCTATCCAACAATACAACACCACACACATAGCCACAAACAACCTTAATCCAACAATACAACACCACACACATAGCCACAAACAACCTTAATCCAACAATACAACACCTCACACATAGCCACAAACATCCTGCATCTAGCATAACAACACGACACACATAGCCACAAACAACCTTGATCTAGCAAAACTACATCACACACAAAGACACACACAACCTGAATCTAGCAATACATCACACAATTCCCATTCATCTATATTTAATAAATGTTTCTAAGGGGACCACTGTTAGCAGCCATGTTCGTCAGGAGGAAACCCATATCATGTGCAGGTTGAGCTCCATGTGTAACCGCCGTACTACGTGACCTCTGTTGGCCACGCCCAATGCTAAGTGTGAGACCGAGGCCATGGTGACCCGACCACTGAAACAGCCAACTTAACCCTCATACGTGTAATAACTGAATAACTTGTTTATTGTTGTTTCTTTATGCACAGATGGTTTTGAAAGGACATCACACAAGCAGGAAATGCGTCTTAAACAGCTAGTACGTTAGATTTATAGTTCGAGGTTTACATATTGGAGATCCCGCTTCCTCTCTTGGTATGAGCAGAGACCATATCTATTATATGGTCTATGGTAGTAGCAAGCGGTAGTCGTTTTGATACCATTCACCCGGAAGTTCAACGTGGAGCAATGCATCAAGTATAGAAAAGCTTCTATCAAGATTCAGCACATATTCCCGTGTCCCACTTTCTTACCTTGGTCCAGTGGTTGCTGATAACGGGTGCAGGTTGATGGTCCGTGTTGATGTGTTGCATGTACAGGTGTCAACCTTGACACACTCATCAGCTGCAGATAATACTGACAATATACATAACACGAAATAAGAATGAAATATCATTCTGAACACGCAGGCTTGAGTCAGTTATTCCTTGTTTGTTTGATAGTGTCTGTCGTTGTGTCTGTTACGCAATAATGAATCCGCATTCAAACCGGAACCAGTCTTGTTTTTTTCTACAAGCGATGACTGCGAATAGCGTCACCGGTAATAAAACCCTTCATTGCCTGGCGGCTTTATACGTTCGGCAAACTCCGGCGGTCTCCGTACTCCGGTGTCTGAACGTTCATTGTCAGAGAATTTGTGACCCATATAGATTTTATTCTCTAGCTGTATAATCGCATACTTTTATAATGTATTGATTTGATATATGGTATCTTATATATGTATGCAAACTTATTCATGCATTGAAAATGTTTTTGTAACTTTGATTTTCACACATTTGTGGGACTATCTAGTACATCTAGATATTGTTCATGTATTTGTGGTCATTTTTGGGTTTACCCTTTGTTAGGAAACGCTTTGGCGACCTCACCAGGCTATTGCATTCCGGAGCTGATCAGGACACGTTGTTCACTCCGACGTCGGCGCACTCGTATAAAACGTGACAAAATCATGTGTCTTTATAGTCAGGCTCCGCTAGACCGTTTACCGGTCGTCTTGCTACTGAGTGGTCATCTTTTGGTCAAGTACTTTTTAATGTGTGTGAGTCTAGATACGACATTGGTCAAGAACCTAGAATTTTGGGGAAGTTTAGAATTTCCTTGCCCAGTCTTTAAAACCTGTGAGCGGGTCAGTACCGATTCTTTCTGGACAGGGGTGTACAGTTACGTAGAAGATTATTGTTCGCTTTGTCATGTTTGTCAAGCAGCAGGAAAGCCGAACCAGGTTATTACCCCGGCCTCTTTGAAAATAGTGTCAATTGTGGGCAAGGCTCTGGTATGATACTGTATTCTAACACGTGTCTACTGTGTCATTGTATCCGTGAAGATCCGGGGTAGAATAGGTCTTCAGCAACCGATTCTTGTCGGAAAAGGCGACTATGCTTGTCGTAAGAGGCGACTAACGGGATTGGGTGGTCGGGCTCGCTGACTTGGTTGATGCATGTCATCATATTCCAATTGCGTAGATCGATGCTCATGATGTCAATCACTGGATTGTACTGGTATAGTGCTCACAAACCGGGATTCGAACCCACAATCATAGGTTTCTGCACAGCGAATCACGGCGCCTTAGACGAGTCGGCCACCCGTGCCCCCGAGAGGGACTGGGATGTTTGAATCCCGTATGAGCAAGAAGCTAGACATGAATTTCTAGGTTTTTCCCTATTTCAGTTGGTCTCTGGTAATACCTCTAACAATCTCATTAAAATCAGATCTAAGTTCTCGCTGCCGCTAAAGAAAGATCTGAGGACATCCCATTACGGATCACGTCATAACGACCTTTCTGCGAACTTAGATCGACCACTGAAATCAGCCAATTAGAAAGCAGCTTTCACGAGCTTAACGGCACTCGGTTCAACATGGCGACTTCCATTTCAGACTACGCTTGAAAAATATGTTGACACAGTTGTCGATTATAATTTTGAAAACTGAACAAACGAACATTATGGAATGTCTTATATATGGTTGAGATTGTATGGCAGAGTTTCCCACGTACCGTGCAACGCCTCTTCCGTTCAAATGTTTATCCCATGGAAGCGAGAGATAGACGATGATTTTGACGGAATCAGTCGTACGGGCCGTAACTGTCGTTCGGAATACCCCGTGTTAACGTTTTCGAGGTTGCATGTTTAGAAAACACATTCCGACTGTCACTTTCACAATCTGGTAAGCGACGCTTTGATTGGTCGGATGAAAGGTCGTTCTGACGTGACCCGTAATGGGATGTCCTCAGATCTTTGTTTAGCGGCAGAATTTTAATGAGATTACACGTCCAAGGGCCCTTTGTAGACGGTAAAAGACAAGTGGTTAGACGATAATCCGTCCGAGAAGTTGCTGAGCTACGTGGCTTAGATAGAGGATAGGCTCTGACAAGCTACCAATTTAGCTAAGCAATACTTGTATACTGCTCATTGCAAGGCTAAGGATCACTTTGACGAGAAGGTCGTGCTAGATATATCGAAGCTGGTGATCAAGTATAACTCTATCTGCCCATCCAACGTCCTTCCTCAAAGGTAAGTTCTTTGGTCCTTACAGAGTTACAGGCCAGGTTAATGATGTAGGGTATGTTACCCGTACACCTGATCAAGGCAGGAAAGTGAGATATTGTCACGTTTATTTGCTGAAGGCGTACCGAGCTAGACGTGCCACGCAGCCAGTCAGCGTATGTTGTGACGGCCAACCTTTAAAACGCGACTTATTTAAGAAGTAAACCCTCCCCACAGTAGAACAAAACACAACCACATTTTCTTCACAAGATGTCCTTTATGCGGTAGAAATTGCTGTTTATGGTTTCTTTTAGTGGCAGACACGCTCTAAAAGATCAGTTTGCATATTGGAATGCTTATTTTATTACAAATGCAATGTGCTGACACAGGCAACCTTAAATAGAATAAAGAAATAATAAGCAAAATTGTTTAAAGCGAGTTATGAGCAAAACTCTGTCCCAAACATGAAAAAAATCACTCTGTTTTCATTTTCAAAATATTACAAGACTGAAGATAATGTAACGTGTATATTGACAATCATGTAGTTTGTTATTTTAAAGCCTGACTGAATGCTTTAGGAGTATATAAAAAGTTTCACAATTGACGTTGGTTTAAAATAATATATGAAAATTCGGTAAATGTGATCCCATCCCCCACCCTGTTAAAAAAAATCCACAAATATAGAATTTCATACTAAAACCATTTACAATGACAACATTTACATTCTCGTACACCAAATTGTTTACTTACATGAAACGTTTAAGTATCTTAACTATATAGGCTTGAGAAATTTGATTTATCCAATATGGCGGACAAAATGGCATCCAAATGTCCCTTCAGGAAAATGACCATATTTCGTCTTCATTTCGGATTGCATGAGAATTATAAATGTCAAAATTTAGGTTTCAACCAGAAACTGCATTAGCGAGCTATTTTCGCGGATGCTGTACACTATAATTGTTAATCATATTGACTAGAATTGTCAATCTTGTCACTAACTCATTAACAAATTTTTCGCCTATGCATTAAGATGCATTAAGTCACTGTCACTGTCACTGTCACAACAGCCACGTGGCATTGACTTCCTGCAAGGCTCACACAGAACTTTCTGAACAACGCGAACATTCACGTTTTACCCTGGTCGGCATTTTCTCCTGATATGAACCCAATCGCAATGTATGGGATCACCTTGACTGACAGATCAGAAGACGACCAGCGGCTCCAGTCAACAGCTACATATCCTTACAATTTCTCTTTGAGGAATGGCAGCGGACTACCCCCAACGTCATCCGATGTTTGACGTCATCGGTGCGTCATCGTGTTCAGGTCTGCACTAATGCACAAGGTGGACATACTCGGTAGTAATTTGGTTTTGAATGTGCTTTCAGAGATGTTAAAGTCATGTTGAACAAGCGGTATTGTGTCTTGCTTGACAACGGTATAAGGATCTATACCGAAACGTCGCTTTTCACAGTATTATAGAAGTTGTTATCCATAAAAATATTGTGTCTATCTTGTCATCCGTCAACTGCTAAGTAATGCCTATCAAACAAAATATATAAATTCGCAAAAAAAGTATTTCGTTTCAATCGCGGATGGAATAAGCTCATAAAAGAATCGATTACATTTGAACCATTATTTGTCGTGCCCCGGCTCTGGGGTGGATCAGGTATGTATGCATCGTACGGAATGTGTTAGCATCTCCACAGCGCCACGTCTTCTTCATCTGCTTTTCCGACCGCCTCCGTGGTCTAGTGCTAGAGCGTCCGCCCGGAGAGCGGAAGGTCCTTGATTCGATCCCCGCCCGCGTCATACCAAAAGATGTTTAAAGATAATACTGGTTGTCACTCTGTCTGTTAAACTGCAGCATGGTCTCTCAGTGGATTTTCACTATAAATCGGCATCAATCCGGACTAGTACAAGCAGCCACAAACACACACACACACACACACACACACACACACACACACACACACACACACACACACACACACACACACACACACGCACACACACACGAGAATGCACAGTCTTATTAAAATCAGACCTTAGTTCTCGCTACTGCTTAACAAAGATCTGAAGACATCCCATTAGGGGTCACGTCAGAACGACCTTTCATCCGACCAATCAGAGCGTCACTTGCCAGATCATCAAAGTGACAGTCGGAATGTGATTTCTAATCATTCAACCTCGAAAACATTAACACGGGATATTCCGAACGATAGATACGGGTTTAACGGCTGAATCCATACAATCTAGACCATCTATTAGCCGTTCCAGAATGTTCTTTTGTTCAGGTTTCAATTTTGCAATCGAGAATTTGTCAAGTATGTTTCGAAGCGTAGTCGCCAATTTGAAATTAGTGCCGTAAAGCACGAGAAAGCTGCCTTCTGATTGGTCATTCCATTGGTCGGTCAAAGTTCGCGCAAGGTCGGTCTGACGTGACCCGTATTTGGATGTCCTCAGATCTTTGTTTAGCGGTAGCGAGAACTAAGATCTGATTTAAATGAGATTCGAGAATGCACGTCGCTTTATAAGTGCAATAATCTTGGACGCGACTTTAAACCCCATTTCGCCTCTACGCATCTGCTGTTCCTCCAGATTCGCACTACTGTCCACAACTTGTCCACATCCTCACTTCCTCACATGTACATGTTCGCTCAACAACGCAACATTAAGCCATATATCTCCTCCAGATAAACATGTTTTATTTACTAAATAGGAATATTTTTAAAAAACCATGAACGTACATATTTACTCCCCAAAATTTTAGCCATATATATTTACAAACATTCCAAGGTCACTTTCCTGAGCCTTCTCCCTAACGCAGACATAATACACTGGTGGTGTTATTCGTATTGCTGTTCCAAGCATTTGCTGTTCGTTGGGCATAAGTGCACTTCTTGACATTGGACAATAAACTGACTGTTGTTTTTTGTTTGTTTTTTGCTTTTTGTTTGTTTCGACTGTTGGCATCCTCCCTCCTGCTCAGTGTGTACGCATGTCGGAAATAACACTTAATCCTCTTCGATCTGTAAAGAAAACAGATTAAAACAATAGGTTTCAGTCGTTTCAAA